AAACAGCTCAAACAACGAAAACATTGTAAAAAGCACTGCTTTTTGGTTGTTGGTTTGGAAAAAGTGGTGATTAGAGAAGGGAATTGCCAAGGAAATTGAAAATTACGAGCCAACCCAGCTTAATACTTTGCTCCAGCGATCCAACGCCAAAATTAAAAACAAACATGGTTAAACCTTGAAAACAACGATTCCATTTCATTGAAAGTGATTCAGACACATACTGAACAATTCCTTGAACTGTTTAGTCAGACTCTGAACTTTTTTGCGCCTTAAAGATGTGAAGATATCATCACATATTATTGTTTTAATCGTACATTGTTGTTTTGACCGAACGCAGGTTTGAATAAATTATTTTTGCACTTGATGCACGAGCTTTGCTTATGCTTAATTTTGATAAGCCATCTTGTATTTTTCCATGTATATTATTAACACTTAATCACATGATTTTACTCGTGCAATTTGGAATAAACAAGCAATTGCTAATTTTTTCAAAGACCACAAATTGCACGAGCCCTATGGGCTCATGCAATTTTGTTCGTCTTTGAAAAAATTTACTCGTGCTTATTTATTCCAAGTTGCACTCGAAATCATGTGATTACCTATACGAACTGACAACATTATTTGTATCCATCTCTAGAAATGACAAATCTACAACAAAGACATGTGTGGCTGAGTAAGGACTTTAACAACAACAGTAGATATGGTTTGCTGAAACTGAGCTGGTGTCCATAGCAACTATGTCAATAGTAATTACCACCAAATTTCAGGTAACAGCACCACTGAATGCAAGCTAGGTTAACCATCAAAAAACCAAAAATTACCTTGATGTTCCAGATGATACAGCTTATGTAACTGACAAGTATGTTAACAACAAAAACTTGAAAATATATCAAGTGCCATTATGATTGGTCACAAGTGAGTATTTGGCTTGAAAATAAGACCATGTATAAGGTGTATAAAGCAAAGTGTTTGGAACACATAAACTGTAAAATGCACTGACTCCAGAAATTTACTTCCTCTCATTTTGTTTACGTATCAGACTCTGTGACCAACAAGAGTCCTTTTCAGAGCTTCTCTCAACTGCACAATCAGATCATAGTCTTAATTTTACACTCCTGATATTATTAATAGCATCTAAAGTATACACATTCTGATTTTGATCCAATAAAGAGTAACTGCCTAAAACCAGCTGGAAGGAAAGAGTTGCTGTAATAACCCTGTCTAGCATGCAAAAATATGTTTGTTCATACTGTTATTTTAAATTATTTCACTTTGGAAAATAAGCCAACCAACCTCCTTTGCATGGAGTCCTGTGATGGCTGTGCTGTGCCCTATAACCCTGGATAAGCTCAAATGCACCATTATCTCGTCTGATAGGAAACATTACTGAAAGAACATCTGCACATGGCTTCATAACATCTAGTGTCCCTAAAAGAAAAACAACCTGGAACTCACTTGAAGTAGAATTAATTTGACTGAAACAAATGCTGCTTAAAATTAGAACAAGCTGAGGCAATTGCACCAAAAGTGCAAAACATCATCGGCACAGTACTGCTGGACCTTAATAAAGTTTTTGATCTGGTAGATCACAGCTTACTTTCATCAAAAATATTGCATATCCAATATGGACTTCAGGGAAATCTCAACAAAGCGAATCACTGGTTCTTGCTAAGCAAGATGGTCCCAAACACAAAGAAAACAAAACAGCTACTTCTTGGAACCAAGCAAAAACTTTCCTACTGCACAAACCCATCGCTTAACCTTTCGTTGCGAGGCACTGAAATCAAAGAGGCCGTAAACGAAAAGTTGCTTGGTGTGAAGATAGACAAGCATCTTAATTGAAATAGCCATATAGATTACATGATCACTAAATTAAATTCTAGGGTAAAATCTTCTTAAAAGAGCCAGAAAGTACCTGAATTTATCACTTAGGAATTAGCTATACAATGCTTTAATTAAACCAATATTTGAATATTGTTGTTCAGTGTGGGGAAACACTAAGATTGATAATTTACAAAGGCTCCCCATAATTAAAAAATGTTGTGCCAGAGTAATTTTAAATGCAAGCACTGAAAGATCAGTTGGCCTTTTTAAGAGATTAGGTTGGATTCCCATTAGTGACATAATAGAGCAAAGGAAATTGTGTATTATGCATAACATTATCCATGGGAAATGTCCTGATTACTTTAATCATTATATTTGTTATGTTAAAAATAGACATCTTTACACAACTTGGGCATCAACTAGTATGGACTTATCCACACCTTTCTTTTGCACTATGACTGGCAAACGTTCATTCCTTGCAAGTGACACTAAGATTATGGAATAACCAAGACAGTGCCACTAGGAGTCTCACTTCCCTTTGCAAATTTAAAAATCAACTATACAAGAAATATGTAGATCAGAACTCCAGAGTTGATAATTTTACTATAAGCAGAAACTTTTAATAAATTTTTAATTTTTAACTGTATTTTTACTTCACATTTTTGCTATTTGAATTTGAAGTTTTAGTGGACCACAATGAGAACCACTGGTTTTACCAGTAATTGTGTTATCCAATAAAGTCATTATTCTTTATTCTTAAGTTGTCAAGTTTTTTTTGGTAAAATTTCCACACAGCCCCATACTATTGTAAAACAAATCTGTTTTCCCAGTGGCAATGTATTGTTTTTGTCATTGTTTTCTCTATCCAAGAACTGAATACATAATGTAGTATGGGGCTGTGTGGAAATTTTACCAGTGTTTTTTTTTCAAGTTTTGGCATTAGTAGTAATATAATCAGCTGGGAGACATCAAGCTCATTTGGGAGAGCACACACCAAAGTATTTCAAATCACTTACTGAATGTGACTGTTCATTTATTTAAGGCTATAACACTATAATCATGGTGAACTCATTATTTTTTATCAACACAAAAGTTTTGCTTAAGCCTTCATGATTCGAACAAAACAGTATGCCCATATTTGGAGAAAACGGAGGATGGTCGGGGGCGTGAATGCAATGTCACAAAAGCTTCGAGAACCGGTTGAATATTAATTTTAGCTGAAGCATAAGAATTTCGTTTATCGGATCTAAGCTTAAAATACTGAAATTAGACTTCAAAACTTGATGCCTCACTCTCTAGTCTAAAATTTTTCAAAATTACGTGCGAATGTCAAATGTGAAAGTAAGAGTTCATGGGGGCTGAGGTCACATTTCACGAGCTGGTAAAGATCTACCGACAATTATCCACCAGTCTCGCCAAGCTGTGGTTCAGATGAGCAACAAAAAACAAATCGATTTAACCCTGGACGATCGTACAGTTCATGCGAATGGCGATTGATTTAAACCTCCCATACAATAACACTGAAATGTTCCGTCGAGCGACTTAATCTAATTTTGTTGAAAGACGAGTCTCAGCCGATGGTGGTAATTCAAGAGAGCTGTTACCTTTTATCCTGTGTTGCTTGTCTTCAAACTTTTCTGGACGATAACCTGGTGGATCAGGCTTGGTTAATAACCTGTGTTCCACGTATACTCTCGCATTCTCAAAGAAGCCCTCACACATTTGAGTGAAAGATGGATCTTTGGGATCAGAACTCGTCGACATCTTTTCAACAGCATTTTGAACAGCAGGAAGGCATTTCTTGCTTCTGGCGAATGCGCCTCTTAAAGAACTAACACACTGAAGACCGAACATTGTAAAATCAAGAGAAATCACAACTATCTACGTATGGTATAAATCTTTCGATGAACAAATTTACGTCGTTCACGTCAGCTAGTCAAACCGTGCTCAGTCGATTGTGAGGTGACTTTTCCGCCAATTAGAGACTAGTGCCAGGTTCTTACCAAAACTCCTCACTTCTTCTAAGAAAACCTTCTCTGAGTCAGAGTCCTAATAAGGAGCTTGCTCCTAAGCTAAGGGAAAAAAATTGAACAAGTTCGGACACGAAACATCACAAGAAAAACAAAAACGATTTGGAAAACAAGGAAGACAAGAATTAGTGATCTAATGTTTCCTTATGAAAAACTGGAAATGAAATTAGACTCGCCTTTCTCTTTATCGTTTAATTTGAAGTTCATGTCAAATCAATCGTGTTCGGAAGTACATCATCTACATTAATGCAAGTTTTTGAAGTGAACCCACGCGTTCCTTAACTTCCGGAGCCACATAAAGATCTGCGACCCCTAGCCGGTCACAGTCACGTTTATTCCCCTAGACATCTCCTTACCTTCAACAATGTTTTCTACGAAAATATTTGCAAAGCCACGCTTCGGCTAGAACTTAGGGTTTTTATGGCAAGTTTAATTAAAAACACCCGCCGCTAAAGCCGCACTCGAATTTTAATTCGCAAACTGATATGACGTCAATAAAGGGGTACGAATTCTTTGATATTGGACCAGGCTACCGGCTATGTCTGCTATGCTTGTTTTTTCTATAACTGGAGGCACCTCTTCAGGATTATAACTATTGAAAGGTTGAAACTTACAATTGAAAAGGATAAGATAGAGGCAAGAACTCCATAATTCCGCCGTTCCAATTGTTGCGATCAAAAATACTCCTATTTCCAAGTACTATGTTTAATTATTGTTCAGACGGGAAAATCATACCGATATCGTGACCTCACGCCTTTAACAAGGTTAACAAATAAATTTATAAAATTTCAATCTTTTACCCACGAGGTAATTTACGAGTAAAGACAACTTACAAACTAATACTTTTAACCTGTTCACTAATCCCCCGAGAAATATAGTACACCGATCAAGTCATCGAAGTATAAATTAAGAGTAGGTTTCCAAAGAAATCGTTTTGAGGCGTCGGTTGGGCTATTACAAGATAATCTGGTTTAATCAACTGAGTAGAGAATTTGCCACCTTGAAGAGTTTCTAAAGCTGTTTCGAGCAGTGGTCCTTCGTCAGAGTGAAATTACTTCGAAACATCATCGGAGTAATGGGTAAAGGGCTACAGTGGGTCCAAACTACACTAAAATCCACTACTCTAAATCCAATAGTGAACAACAATAAGACTTGAATGACCTTTATTTCTTATAAAATTTAGATATAGAATATCTACACATACAGGCGGCTTTAATAAGTCTATCGTAGCCTTCTTCGTAAGAATTTGTTCTCTCCTACAGAACTGTAGTTGTACACTCTAAGTTATAAATAGGTATAAAATCTACTATGCTATCGATACTACAAGAGAGATGACAATGATTTACTTCGCTTATAATCTCGAACTTACATTGAACACATTTTTCCCTGAAAACGATCGTCATAAAATGTCCGGCGTCGCTTGTAGAAGTAGAGAATATGTGACAGATTTCCGAACTCACTTCAATCTTATTACGGTGGATTCAGACGGGGTTTTGGAGTGGTGCTCATTTCGTAGCCAGTACTTGATGTGTTATCCAAATAAATCTGCGAACTACGGCACTACTATAAATTAAAGTCTTTCCCTAACATTTTGAAACATCTTGGGCTAAAGGCTAACAACGACAGTAACAGAAATGCGGCTTTTACCAACCAACTATCTCATTTTTCCAGATATGCGTTCCATACGAGTATTTACAAAGACTAGATCATATTTTGATATACATTATTTATAGATATATAAATACATGTTCACTTTATGTACAGCACGACATAAATGCCACCAAATAAAGCGCAACTACGTCTAATAACGTCTTCTTAAATCTGAAAGTCGTACGGGGGGAAACAATCGCGCACAAACCGTCGGCAGTCTTCGCCCAGACTCTCTTTGCAATACTTTTTAAGTCATGTTTTATTTTGTCTCTGAACTTAGAAACGGCTAAGGAATACACATCATGTTACCTGGAATCTGAATAAATTAATTTGCTTACAAGTATTCTCCCTGAAATAAATGCTACCCGAACAATCTGAAGCAAGTTTTCAAAGGAAAAAGAAAATTGTGACTGGAAAAGAAAGTAAAGTTCGAGCTCTTGCAACATTATGAATCAGAAAAGAATGTGGAAAAAAAAAGAAGAGACGGAAAACTGTCAACCAATTCGTGAAAGACAAGTCGTTACTGTTCATACTACAGGACAGAAATGGTTTGAAAGGAAGACAAATTCGTAACAGTTTTTGAATGTTCACACGTGAAAAGAAATTAGATGGCTCAAGCGTTTGATGAAAGTAAGATTTGAATGTGCACAAAAAAGTTCGAGAAATTTGTACTAACTGCCAGACGGGAAAGACGCTTCTCGAGACAAATCTTTTGCTTGAATCTTCCATTTTGACAACAACGAGTCATCAAAGGTCAAGTCCTTCTTAGGAGAGTGATAACATAGAAGTGCAGAAATGAGAAGCTCATACTGAGCTGTACCTCGTACTTATAAAAATACAATAAAAAAAACGTGGTAAAATATTTCATCAGGCGAAAGACTCTTGACTGATGTGAATAATAAAACCGACAGTTAAAAAAAATTAAAAGTCGAGATCCCAAGAAAGAAAGAAAGAAGAATACCGACTTGGTCAACGTTATTCCACGAAGGAATGTTCTGTAGAGGAGATTATGAAACAAGTATCATGCGTGTCCCTTTCTAGATAATATACCTAACGCTATCATTACTACGATAAATCTCATTAACACAATACTACATTTTGTTCTAATACTTCTGTCATGGCGCTACCTACGTGTAACTAAAACCTATAAATCCCTCTAATTAAAACGAAAAAGAATACTTCTACTTCATTTCTATGCTTGTACACAATGAGGGTTACATGCCCCATTTAATTTATTTATGCATATATTATAGCATTTACCGAACTAATTCCAAATGTTGGAATGATTAATAATTCTCTTTGTCTTTCACCCGCACCTGAGGAGTACAAGGTGCAAGGTGGAGTACTTTGTGTGACTCACAACGGAAATGGCCTCTCTTTCTTAGTACTCTGTTAGATAAAATTTTCAGCTTGAGTTTGACCCAAATCATAGCTTCCTTATCACTATACATACACCACGACACTAATATAGCTTTGACTACACAGCCTGTAAAAAAAGCACAAACCGCCAAGATATCCAGGATAAAAAACTGCCGCAACCAAGAAAATTTTCCTTGCTCCTTATATCAGATTATAGTACGAAACGAAACCGAAGTGATGGATAAGAAAAAAAAAGAGTTACTCACAAAAGGAAGTATGAAAATTGAAAAGGGTTTACACATAAAAGTAAGGACAAAACTTCACTAGAAAAACAGAAAACATTCCAAATAGTAATGTATTATAGCAATAATCAATTTTGTTTAACTACGTAAACTTGAGAATATTTGTACTATACAAAAAAAGTACGTAGAGGTCTTTCAACCTACCCCTTCAATACAAATTATTCGCTCTATTTTCAAGTACAGCAAAGTAAAATATTTCTAGCATGAATCTTTCCTGTGAGCGAACGACATCACCATGACAAAGCTACTCGAACATGGACAAGATATCTTCGCTGGGAAGGTCGGACGGCGTCAGATAGTTGAAAAGCTCTTCTGGGTCGAGGGTTCCAGGTAAAACCTATAAGATTGTCACCACACTCAACGTCAGAATACGATGCATGGCCAATGTTAACCTCCGATCCTTAGACCTTCGTACATGCAAGCAGCACTGACATAACGACGAAAATGACCCGTTTTTGCGCGCACGTACGCAGTTAGAGTGATAACTTGCTTTCAGGCATGCAGAACAACCCAACGCCAAACCAAAGGTTTGGAGAGGTTCAGAGCAGAACAACGACTTACGCTCACAGCTGTCACTGTCATATGAACAGTCCATTAAACAAGAAAATTAGTTTATGTAAAGAATAATCTACTTCCCCCCGGATATCAACTTACGTCTAAAGCGCCTTCCACTCCATCAGTTCCTCCGCCATGATCTTCCAGAACACCAAAGTTAAAATCGTCCGGAAGATTGTCGTGTTCGAGGTCGGCGGCAATGCTATCAGCATTCCCTGACACGGGCGGCTGGGAGAGGCTTGACGAGTGCTGCGTTCTTTCAGCAGCACCTTTTGGATTTGTATGACTCCCTGGAGTTTGAGGAGTGGCGGGACCTCGAGTGTGGTTGCTGCTTTGCGTCGTGGCTTGGCTAGTGACTGGACTGGGTGTCATCTTTTCACCTAAGGAAGTGGAACAAAGACACTCTTGAATTAGAATGCGTTTAGAGGTTAAAAATTAAAGACAAAGTACCATAAAAGCGTATATAATAAATGTTGTTCTCAACAGCACACTGCTCAGTCACTCACCACTGGGCGTAGATGCCGCTGGTTGCGTCGTTGCAGAATTGCTAGCGTTATGCTCTTGCAGCTGATTTCCACCTGATGAGCTGTGAGACTCAGGGGGTGTCCGTCCAGGAGGAGTAGGTGCACCCATACCAGGGTTAGACGGTGGTTGCGTTTGATAAGGCGAGTAGTGTCCACTACTGCTGGACATTTGTGATGTGGGTGTCCTAACACCAGAGAGCGGTAACGAGTCAGGAGGAGACGGTCGAGCCTTCTTAGCCGGCTGTGGTCCTTGACATTCGTCATCTTTTGGTTCCTGTTTAACAGGAACAGGCTTCCATTGACTGTTTGGATCAATTGTTACTTCTTCCACATCAGAGCTGAAATAGTAAGAAGTCGCTACGGTTAATGTGGAATGCTCTATGATCAACAACACAGCAGTCTTATCAACATCATAACTACCTAGAGGATTTTAATTTAAAAGTCTCCAAAACGATAAATAATATTCTTTCATTTGGTTAACTGCATTAGATTCGAATTTGTCTGTCTAAAAACTGTGCACGTCGCCGATCAATTTTTTGTGAAATGGTAACTATAGCAACCACCTGGACGTTGTTAGGATGCCCCACATGAACTGATCCACTTCGAGTCCTTCAAGAAGTGCAACTTTGCTGAAAAATGAAAAAATTGAAAATAGATTAAGTTTAGAGTTAAAAAAAAAAACAGGAGGAAAGTTAAAGGTGGTAGAAAATAAAATAAAACAGTTTAAATGCTTTTATAATAGCCTTGCGACTTCCTCTGATCTATAACTATGGGGAAACCACTCGGGCACATGAATCCCATCGACTGAATTGATACAACTGGAGTTTTATCACAATGTAAAACTTCCTTTCTATGACATGAATATTTTCAACGATTTGCATCAAATTAAAAGTAGCTTAAGCTCTCGCAAAAAGAACAGGGGAAACAAAAGTAAAATGCCAACAATAACAGTAACTTCTAAAGCACTCACCTACAAACAGGACATTTCCAGCTTCCTCTTTCACAGTTGAGCCTTAAATACGATTCTAAGTCAAAACACTATGGAAAAAACAGATTGGAGTTGCGAATTCAGTAAACTGGACGACAGCCAGACATTCCAAGTCTAAGAAAATGGTATTTGACTTTGGATTCAGGGTATTTGTAATGGTTCGGTCTCATATTTGATAAATAGTACATGTACACGCATCCACCATGTTCCTATTGCCACACTTTGTCATACTGAACTGTTTACTGTAATTCTACCTTGGAAAACATAATGTAATCAGATGGATTTCAAGATGTTAAACAAAACCCTGTAAGCCAAGCATACGTATAAGTTACATACCTGGATATGTTTACAATCATGGCCTCTGGCTGGTAACGTTATCCTTCTGAATGTGATGGGGCATTTGAGCGATACTTTGATAGCTGTTTGCTCTACACTGTCGTCTGTGCCGCCAGCAGCAGAAGAACTGAACGAGAAATTCCTTTTAACTTAGGATCAAAGAAGATCATATCTGAATTAGCAATGAATGCGTGGTACTTGAAAAAGAATACAATGCCTGATGCAAGCCTTTCAGCTCTGGAAACCAGTTACAAGCTCTACAAAACAAACATCAGGTACAGCAGCAAGTATTTGCAATACTCACTTTTTGTGATACAGTGTTCTGCTGGAAGAAGTCTTTTACGTAACAAGCTTTGTAAAACTGAGCTTACGGAAGGTCTGTGGACCAACTGAAGAACGAAGAGGTGGGACTGAAAGGATAAACATTAAAAACAATTTTCGTAAATAATAATGCTTATCATAAGAAAAAGAATACCAAATGATCGAAATGTTGATGTTACTTACACAGCAGCAAGCTGTGACTGTAATCTGTATTGTGTTCCTTCCTGGTTTACAAACATTCTTCAAATGAAGAGGTTTATGCGAAGTTTTATTGTCCCCTTGCTGTAACAAAATAAATAAATAAATTCAAAAATATATATTTATCAAATTGCTAGTTTAACACCAACAACACAATCATACAAGGGTCTACTGGGTTTTAGTTAATCAATAAACCAACAAAGACACATCTATATGGAATGGTTATTTCAGCAACACATTAGTAACAAATTTAAAAAAAATAAAATATAACTCCTGATTTTAACGCACCCTTTCAATAATAAGAGGGTTGGCATTCACACTGACAGTCACAGACTGTGGCCAATTTGTATACATCTGTTTATCTTCATGGTGGTAGCATTTGAACTGAAGCTCAAGATCAGGTCTGGAAAGGAAAAATTTGTTCTCAAATTTTTACACTCTTGAAGAAAGACCTTCAAGTTCTATATAAAACACCCACTGTTCCTTGTTTCCCATGCCTTGCACATAATTCCTAGAATAACGACTTTGTGAGCCCTTTTAACACTTTAAGTCTCATGATCTAAATGCTAAATCTGCCCCACCATATATAATGAAAATATTTCTGGTTTTTATTTAAAGGATAGCCCTTGATCTACAAAAACATGTCCCTACAGAATTTAGTTTCCCCCACCCACCCCACTCAAAAAAAAGGTGAAAACATGACACATTTCCCTAGAAGTGTTTTGATGTTTGATCAAAAAATAGTAAAAATAACTTTCCAACAAAAATTTAATTCATCTCAATCCCAAAACTTTTTCCCCTCTAAACAAAAGGAAGAAAATGGCTAATCCACAAAATAGAAGTCCTAAAAAATTCCATGCTACACCATAGTTAAAGATTCTACTCCTTAGTCAAATTTTTAATTTATTTATTTGCTTGACATTGTCCCTGATAATTCTATATTTGAAGAAAATAAAACACTGGTTCCTCCTGGAAGTCAAAAGAGGGTCAAAGAGGATAAAAAGTAAATAATTAAAAATGAAACGTTACCTCATCATTAGTGTCTGATGGACCGAGTCCCTGAGATGGAACACATGATTACTGACTGCCAGATTATGCTCCAGTCTAAAGGGAGCAAGGACTATGCCATCTCTTACAGGAAATGTCAATCTTATGACATCGTTTTCACCTAATAATGACAGAGAGGAATACATAAAAAACTGTGTTAAACAGACTGATCTGTGTTACTCTAATAAAGTCAGCTCCTAAAGAAGGAATGACAAATTTAAAGCTAATGGTATTTGTATCAAAGCCCTACAGCTGATTGCAAATAAGTGCCAGTGGACATCTACAGAGTATGTGTAACCCACAATACCAAGACAATATGCAACAGGGAGTATTCAAATTACATTGTAAGTTCATTGTAAAATAGTATGACCGCAATTCAGCCAACTTTGCACAAATGTACCTTGCAACTGTCTGCACAGCTAAAAAGGTCTGTTAAAAATTATTGTTCTTAACTAAAGGAATGATGTTATTTGCGATAATATTTGTAGAAGCCTAGGAAGGACTGCCAGTTGCTTAAATAAAACAAATGTTGTTATTTGTGATAATATTTGTAAAAGCCTACAAAGAACTGCCAGTGGCTCTGGGACTCTGAAATGGTGATATTCAACAACATACACACAATTCAATGGTGAGTGATTTGTAAAAAGAAGAAAATAAATATGGGACTTATCTCACTTACTATTCAACCTTGTGGGCTTGACATCCTCATAAGCTTGTGGTGAAGCAGTGTTAGGAACCACTTGGGGTTTGATGTCATAGCAGTTTGATGGATTCAGGGCAGCATCACTGATACTCATGTAAGGGCTTGGCATTGCCCCTGGTGTGACTGGCGGTGACATTGCATTTGCCATTGTAGCATTAGGATACTGGGGTGTACTCTTGCGTCGTCTCTGCATGGGTCGTGGCCCCTGTTGCGGCAGATGAGGGCCGTACATTCCTGGTTGGGGTATCTGCCCCACTGAGGGCAGCTGAGGACCTTGAGGCACTTGTGGCATTTGACTCATGGGACTCATTTGAGACATCTGGTTTAATGGACCTATTGGTGGCATCTGCGGGCCCATCTGTGGTCCAACTGGCTGGTTTATCTGCCCCATTGATTGGTTGACTGAGTTTGGCTGCATCATGTGTCCCATCTGTTGGTTCATCTGTGACATGGGGCTCATACTTGGAGTATAGGGTGGAGGAGGTGTTGGTTGTTGTTGATAACCAGCCTGTGCTTGATATGAAGAAGGTATCTGATAGCCACCCTGTTGCTGAAAAGGAAAAAAAAATTATTACACACAAAAACCACATGATGGCTTTATTGCACAAAAGAATAACAGTCATACAGGGGGGTAGCACTTTCTAACTACATTTTGCCTATGACTCCACCCTATTGGTCCACTGAACTTCAAAACTGAACAATTACACAGTAATCCCACACCAAAAAAAAAAAATTGGTTTAAGGGGCAATCAAGGAGATGGAAAGGCTGCATGTACTTATTTTATACATCATGGAATGATGAATAAACAAACATTTAAAATATCATTTGACATCTGCTATCAAACATTCACAAGTGAAAACTTGCAAAACATATATCATGATTTAATTTAATATGCTATTTCTCATGAGCTGGTAGAGTTATACAAAGAGCAGCTTCATCACCACAAAAATTTTAAGGGGCATTTTCTATGCCAACTCACCTTGTGTGTTATACCCAAGGACACTTCTAAAGCTAAATTATTTATGGTAGTCAAAAGTGTGTAGGTGACATAATGGTTAAGAGGTATGAAGTTAGCTAAATTTCATCATCCAAAGCATTAGAACAAAAAGTAAAAAAGAGTACACCTTACCCCATATTGTCCAGCATACTGCTGCTTGTAATGTTGTTGCATTTGCTGTTGTTGTTGTTGCAATTGCTGTTGTTGCTGCTGCTGTTGTTTTCTCATCATGTAATCCTGTAAATATTGAGTGCGGCTGATCCCAGAGTTGGGTTTCTGCATACCCTGCTGGGCACCGGGTTGTTGCTGCTGCTGTTGTCCAAATGGCTGTGGATATTGGGGGAAGTTGCTGCGCTGATATGGTGGGGGAGGGTGTTGCGGGTGGCTGGCTTGGTTGGGACCATATTGGCTCTGCCCTGGAGGGAAACCATAATCTGTAGGGAAAATGCAAAGAGGATCCCAAATTCATTAAAAACTAGGAAAAACAGAGTGTATGTGGAAATTTATAAGCAACACTTTATCAGAACCTCCTTAAGGATATTCTCAATACATCTGTGATCATTACAAACAAAGATCTTCAAATGACTTGTAAAAATCAGTCAAGGGGAAATTCATGGTGGAATGGCTAACACCAAACCCAAAAGAAACATCTTAAGTAAAGGCTTCCTTCAAAAATTGCCCATCAAACTTTCAAAGAGTGTAATGCTGTAGGCACTATATATACTCCAACAAATTAAAACTTCTGAGTCTCTGAGTATGCTGGCAAAATGGAAAAACTTTTCTGGCCTGTGGCAAAATCACTTCCATTCCTGCCCCATATGTTACTATATTACAGCTTTGTTACCCTAGAGGATCAAATTTGAATTTTCTGTTTTCTTCACTTACCCATTTGTTGCTGATCTTGAAGTGCAGCAGTGGCAGTTGCTGTGGCTGTTGCCGTCGCTGTAGCAGCTGCTGCAGCAACAGCAGCTGCAGCCGCAGCAGCAGCTGGGTTGGCAGCAGGCTGTGGAAAGGGTGATGCATTAGGTGGACCAGCATTTTGCTGCGAGTAATAATTATTACTTCCAGGAGGAACACTGGGTGTGCTTCCTGTGGCAGGGAAGCTGTTTTGCCGCTGCATGTAGTTCTGTGCTACAGGCTGTGTTGTCTCTTGAGGAAGCCTGCTTCCTGGTCTTGCTGGGTAACCCCCTTTTTACAGACAGATAACAAAGAAATTTTACATTATCCCTCAATACATTTAGTTGCTACAAATGTTTTTCAACACATTACCTGCTTCTTCTTGAGCTGAAGAGGCAAAGCTAGATTTGAGTGGTAATGCACAACTTCAAAGTGAAACTGGGAAAAAAATATGGGCTGCCTTTAAATCAAACCCTACAATCAAGCTCTGATTGGTTAACCTCAATCAAAGCTTCCATGCATTTCCTTGCGCTGTCATGTCCAGTCAAGTAACAACTTTGTAAGTTTAGTATTTTGTGACACTTTCACGGGATAGTTTGAAAGTTTGCAAGGTTTTCTATTAGGGCAGTTGGCCTGTGAATTCTGCTGGCTATTTGACAAGCTTCCACCACCTTTTTAGGTTTGAGTATTACACCAAAGTTTAAATCTAGTACCAAACTGTAATCACAAAGTACAAGCTTAAAATGAGCCAAGATCAATTCATGAAAAAGCAAATAAGGAACTTGCTCTAGTTCTGTTTGAAAGTGCATGGCAGCAATTTAATTTATTTATTTGTTTCTTAGGAACACATATTCAGTTCTCTACTTACTCTTAAATATTTTTATCTACCCTGACTCTTATTGAAAGCCTTAATATTGTGTTTAAAAGAATTCATTTTAAAGCAAGTTTGGGAGTTACTGAGTCATAATACTGAAGATCACTTGCTATCCCTTACAGAATGCAATATTTCCCTAACTGTTATCTAATAGAGATTAAATTCATTCAGTGGATAATAATGATTCTACCTTTAAACATTCATTGCCACAAGCATGATATTGAAAAGGTACATGCAATTAAACTGAACATAGCCACTTGAAATGAATTTGATATCGTACACCATCACTAAACAGAGTGAATAAAACCAATTGAAAACCTTAACATTTGACGACATATCCCCCAAAAGCCTCATAATATTTAGGAAGGTATCAGTATTGATTAATTTCTTAGTATACACAGAGAAAACACAATTTCATTCTGACCTGATTGTGCATATTGCTTTGGATTTGCAGAAGTTGAGAGATAGGGATGTCCCACAGAATTAACTGTGTTTGTGGTGGGAATTCCTGGATTGGTTGGATCATGTGTCATGTTTGCTGTTCCATTAGTCATTGGGGACGTGACACCCCAAACTGTTGTCACCACAGATAGTGATGGCTGCTGTTGGCCATGACCTTGAGTACTCTGTGGCCACATGACAGTCGATGCATCACTGTAATATAAGAGTTACGTATTAAGCACTGTCGTCAGATATCTATGCCTTGGGTCAATTGCTTACGTGTGGGAACTGACCTAAGGACAATTGTTTTATCCTAGTAAGTACATACTGAGAACACATCTTGAATAAAATATTGCCCCTGGCCAGTGATATTCAATTGATGTGCTGATAACAGGAAATTAGCTGCTCAAACAATTCCTCTTGCACAACATCACTGATTCAGAACAAAAAACAATGAACCATTCAGTGCTTAGATATTTGCAAAGTTAAAATGAACATAGAGGGCTCTTATTCTCCTCATGGAAAACAAGCAGTACACTTTAGGGGATCTCATGACTGTTGAGGCATTAAACAGTTAAAGCCTTCTGAGATAAAAAAAAAAATTGCAAGGGCAGTATACCCAGTGTTCTTTATAACCATGTTAATAGAAAAAGGATGTTTAGACCTCAAGTAATCAAGCCTTTTTTAATCAATATCAGTATTAACTTCCGAAAACTCTAGAAATCACTTCTGAATTTTCATAATATCTAAAATTAAAAAAGGTGTAAAAATATTGGTCTTTTCAACTTAGTATTGCGACACACTGAGTCTAGCAGTTAAGCCTTTTCACACAAAATCAAATTTACTGCATGGTTACTTTATTAATTGGCAAACAGTTAAATTACTAATAATTGGAGCAAAATTCTTGGTTTATAAAAAATTTGAGGTAAGAGAGATTTCTTATGCAGGGATATCAAATGCAGTGACTAATCTCTAGGGACATTATCTTCAAAAATGTAAATTTCTGTGGCAATAATTTCCACAGGAGCAGAAGTTGTAAACCCAGATTCCTTAAGTTCACAAGCTTAAAATCAATTTGTTACTCAGATCATCATTTTAGCAAAGGAAACTAAGAGGACACCACAAAACCTGTTGAATATTCTCTTGCCAAGAGATTTCAAGCTGATGCCTAATGAATTCAAAACAAATCCAGAGTAATTAATTCAGGTAAACTAGACCATGTGTTCAAAGCTGGTTTAATTGCTACTGTTTTAAGGCAGGAGACCAACAAGCGTTTATTAGCAGCCCTCGAGGATCAGCAACAGCAAAAGGTAGTGGCACAGTAAGCAAATAGAGGGTTAAAATACTCAGTTATGATGTTAATTAACACAAGATCAATCTAACACTTCAAAGTGCAAGACTACACAAAAAATTAGTTTTAAAAAACCCAACAAGCGACTTACTTGTTTGAGAGCTGACTTAATTGATTCATTGGGTTCAACTGATTCATCTGAGCAAGCTTGTTTCCTGGTGCTGTGGGGTAGCCTGCTGTCTTCTGAGTATCAACATTTCTCTGCTTTTGATGCCGAAGTAAGAGAAGTCTGCCGAGATCTTCACACCAAACACCTAACATAGCTGAGAATAACACACGATCAATACAATGTAGCAATATTAGGTTGGGAATCTGCAGAGGGCAAATATAAATAATGCCATTTTTAGCTAATTAAGTGTTCATTTCAATAGTTTTCTTTATGAACAACCAGTACTTTGATCCATTTAACATCAAACAAGAAAACAAAAACAGCTCATGTATAAAATACTGCTTTGGTTTTCACAGCTGTGAATATTACTCAAGTTTGACATCTTATGTTAAAAAAAAAAAAGAAGAAGAAGAAGACACTTCCATGACAATATTTCTTGACAGTTTTTGTTGATGAAGTCAACATTACCATTGTGATTTCAATGGTTTAGTCACCTTCACAATACAACACGGGAAAATATTTTGCAAGAAGTAAAACTGAACATGCAAGATTATGTCCACCAGATAATTTCAGTGTAAAAGTGAGCCTAATCTCATAGTCAAGTACACTAACACTGTGCTTCAAAACCTGCACCTTAGTTTTATTTTTTGACTCTAAACCCATCACAAAACTCCAAGAAATGATTGCATGTTCTTTCAGTCTTCCCACCCGCAAATTTATGACCTTGTTCCCACACCAACCCACCTTCACCACACTTGTTTAATATACTAATCCTACACAAAGTAGTTTAACTTTCCACCTAGCAACTGCTACCTTAATCCCTTGACAAACACAAACCAGATTTTAATGTTCACAGCTCTTCACAAAATTCATTTGTGTGCATCACATTTTATACCATAAGATATTGCATCATGAGCCAGTCGTGCATGCACAACAAAACTTGGCCATCACTGGTACATAGATAATAAGCTCGACAATCTCATCTGATTTTTTTAATGTTCTTTTCTTTAAATATTACACACCAGAATCATAAGTTTTAAAACATTGCTTGGCATTGTCACTTACTAAAAATCTGACTCTTTCCCAAAATGAATCTTAGAAAAGAGAATTTTCCTTATAAAATAAATACTAAATTTGCCAACAGTAGCCCTACAACAACCTTTCTTTTTCCCCTAAAAGCTTCCTTTTCCCCATAAAAAATTGTAGCAAGGAATATTCATACAAGTGCCTCAACAAAACAATATAGACTAACAAAACAAATGAGTCATAGTGCTCTTTATTCAATAATACCTCACTTTCCATTGAAATTTCAGTTTCTTTGGCTTTAAAAATACTTTACAATCATTATTCTTGTTTTATCCTAAGGTGTCACAAAGTATATTTAATGATAAAGATGGAGGTACCTACCAGCTGACTTTGTGGTGAACTTGTCTCTGTGTGCAGCACAAACAGCCAGGAGTCGGTAACCTAAAAAAATGGAAATTTATAAGACTTCACAAAGTAGATTTGCGGTCAATCTTGAAATGCACATCTCCATACCATGAAACCACTTTAATTTGTCAGAGGCTTTTGGTTAATGTGATTAAAATTAGAATTTTTGTGTCTGAATTTATGCACAACACTAAGAAACTTTATGTTCCAGGTGTATCTATGGTCAGTATTTAACTGATTATTTAGAGTCCTTCTAGACAAACTCACTCTTTTGGTGGGTTAAGAACTGTATATGAAACTTATCCTGTAATCAGTTGTATAAATTAAATAGAATGGCTCATTAAAAGCAAGAGTATGCAGAATGGAAAATAAGCTATCCAGATTAGTACTTAAGATAAATCTCTCTTCAGAAATGTTAAATAATCCAATCATCCTAATATCCCCTGCAGTTGGTCAATGCAGAATTATCAGTGTTGTTAAACAGAGGAATACGAAGGAAGCAAAACTGGTGCACATACCTAAATCCAAATCATAACCTGGATTGGCTGCAACTTGACTCACAACCTACACAACAGTAAATTGCAAAGTTTTGGTACATAACAATCTGCACAATATAGATTTAGCTAGACAAGTATAGCACATCTAATTAGCAAACTTGAAACTTAAACTCAAAATCCTAAGTTACAATCCATCACCGTCACATTTTTGCTCTCCTGCAATTGGTCTAAATGCATCACATGGACAAATCTGCCCCAGCTAAAACATATTTATCCTGGAATATTCTCTAATTAATATTTTCCAAATTTTAAATCCTGTGTGGAGTACAATTAAAGCTCTCATTTAAAATTCCATTCAACAAAAGAGCATTTTGCTATTTCTACAGTAGGTACAAATTTCATTGTTTATCAAATTGCACCAGAAACCACACAAAGGGTGAACTTCCAACAAAGTAAACAGTTAGCTATTCAAACATTTTTTTCTCCATATAAAACGAAAAATGTTTTGAAAGAAAATAAGCAAATATGACACAAAAAATATGCTTGTTCTTGGACATTATCTGTTCCTCAAATTTCACAGTTTTCCCTGAGCCTTGCTCTTGCAAAACTCTTCCTTCCAAATACAAAGATGGTTTTTCACCAAATATAGGCTAATGCCTACAGGTACCACTTTTCCATGAGTTCATGCCCCAAGGACAAGGCTCAATTATTACAACTGCAAGATTGACTATCCAGTTTGTACAACCAAACTGATAAAACAATGCCTACCGTGAGACATCCCATCAAGTTGCTTTCAAATGCTCGTTGAAAAGCACGTACATCCCCACACCATTCCAGAAGTTCTCTTGCAGAAGTCTGAAATCCTTGTGGAGAGGACAGGTGCTGTTTTATACACTGGAGTCTTTCATTAGTTTGTTGAATGTGCCGTTCCATGCTCAGGCTCATTCCAGCACCTACAGAAAATGTGATTTTCTTATATTCACAGTATTAACAACTTAAAGATATTCTTAAATTATGGTCCACAGAGGATGTGATGATGAGTTATCTTTTCCACCTTAGGGGAACTGTCAGGAGAAGCTTCTACTAGTTCTGCTAATATGCATGCAGGAGTATCACTAACACTGATCAATCAGAGTTTAAACCTAACACTTTTTACTGTATTTCATACTGGACTCCCTCAAGTGGCAGAAAGCATACCTGAGCCCAGTCACTTCTAGGAATACGCAGGGCTTACAGGGAGTTTAAAAAACACAAATGGAAATATCATGACCCTGTCTACTTCTGAGTGCTGCACACAAGGGCTTTATCAGTTCAACCCTCCACGACCCAGTTGCTCGTAGGGTAGATAATGCCTTCCAAAAGATAAATTTATTTCCACTGAATAGCACAAAACCCTTTCTAAAGACTTCCCCACTGGACAGTAATTAAACTGTTGGATAGTGTTGTCCACCCTTTGAGTGACTGGCCTCAGAACAGGTAGATTACTGTGAAAGTGGACCACAGTATACTTCATGCAAAGTAACTTAAATTATGTATACTGTGCAATGTCCCCAGATTGCTCTGAGGGGTCTTACTAGTAGCCATGCTCATCTACCTAGTGACATGAATATTCTACCAAATTCTGAACACAACTACCCTTCATATCATAACATATCTTCCAAACTGTACTAAACAAATCTCCAAGTAATCAGTGCAGCTAGCTAGGGCTGTGAGATTAAGTCAAAAAATGAAAGTGCAAACACTCTGCTTTGTCCTTCTTGTGCTAACAATGGTGTGAAAACCATTAAAACAGTGTTCTCAGATTAATTCCTTTTGATCTGATAAACAACACTTCCCTCTTGTGGCATCATAATTACATATACCAAATTACCAACAAAGGAACTTAAGTTAAGATGTAATTAAACACCCATCCAAAAAGCATGTAATCTTTGTTGATAATTAGCAACCAAATCTCAACATAATTTGCCAGTGGCAATATTTATAAATGGCCATCATGTTAGTATTGGTTTCAATTTTTCAACTTTAGACATACACTACAAAGTCAGCATGGAACCTAACAGTTCAAAATCTTTCAAAGACTTCTTTGATTCTGATCTGCCAATATATCATGTATACAGGGTCAGCTTCTTCCCTAAAACTAACCATCACCTACTTAAACGTGTGCGACACAGATTTTGAAACAAACTGAACAATTAAGTTGTAAAAAAACGCTTAAGTAAAACTCGCATGCCTACCTTATGAATTTACTACACAAATCACCCTGCATGCCCCAACAAATATACAGGCTGTATGTTGTCAAGCAGGGCAAATTTGCATGAGGACTTAAGAGTTCACAGCCCGTGAAAAATTATGCAAACAAAGCTTAATTCCAACATGTTTGAATAAGCTAAATTTTCAAAGACATAGAGGAACTGATACCAACAGAAAAGAAAGTAAACACTTTTGAGAGGCCATATTTAAATTCTGTACAATTGTTCAAAGCAACCTTGCCAGTTGAAAAAGAAACCAGAGTCAAAATAAAAGGCCAACCGCACAAGCTATTGCATGGTCTTTGTTACCACCAACTCAATAGTGGAGCTTAATTATTCAAAGACCACAAGCAATTCCATTGTCTTCCATCCCCATTCAATACTTGTCTTTGGTCCACCACATAGACTTCCACATGTACCTCTTTTGAAAAGATGAATTAATTAAGAAAACAGTAGTGCTCTCCCACAGAACCCAATTCATACTCCTCAAGAAAACTGCTCTGTGGTCCTTGAAGAAAGCAGCCTCTCTGTTTGATAACTTTTTTATACAAACAAAGACTCTCCTGGGCTCCACTCAAAACATCTTCTTCCTATGGAGTAAACCTATCAACCGTATCACATCTCATAAAGAGCAAAACTGGAAACAAAAGCTGCTCTAAATACCACTATTTCAGCTCAAATTACAACACACAGTTGTACAATTTACATGCGATTTATACACCAAAGAAACAGTAAAGAGAACAATGAATTTGGTAAATACACCTTGTGAATGCAGCCTGTTTTCTAATCCAACCCATAAGCCGCTCATTTAGGAAAATCAGTGTAAAAACTACAGTCAATCTAATTGACAAAACCCTTATACAAATGATTATAATTGTTTAAAACCTTTTCATTGCACCTTTTATATAATCCTTAAAACTACATTTCTATAATTTCCTGTGCTTAATGTAATGGTTATCTTTATCAATTTGTCTGTAGGATATATGTTAAGTCAACTGGTGTCAGTAAACTGTTACCAAGGTTCAATTCACCCACCAAAACAAGCTCAATTTAATTCTCACAGAGGCTTTTTTTGATGTTCTACCCACTTTAATTTATAAGAAAATTGCTGTGAACTGAAAGCCCACTTTGACCACATGCCTGGGTGCAAAAAAAAACTTTGGTCTATGTCAAAATAATAGCAATTTTCTGACAATGTTTTAGCCAAACAAAAAAACATCTTGTTAAATATAGTGGTGTTGATTGTAACTTGACTATATTCATGTTAAGGAGTTTAAATGCAGCTCTTGACGAGAGTCATATTTAACAGTAGTTGGATTCAAGACATTTTAAGTTAATATTAAAAAGTTCAAAATTAATCAAGATTAAAATATGTCAAGTAAAAAAAGGTCCATTTACTGTTCTGGTTGAGGTGTTGGTTATCCAATGGTTGACTCTGGGCTGTTGCTGTTCCATAGAAAAGTCCATCATCCAAGTCACCCATGGTTTTGCCGGTGAAGTCCCCCAAACCATTTAGAGGGAAATCCCCCATACTGACACAAGAGTTTCCAAAAATACCACAGAGTTGCGAGTCTTCAGTGTAACCAAAACTTGTTAAAACACCTCAGTGTTATGAGCTTTGGGATAGAGCTAACAGAGTAATGAGAACACTTGGTTAGGTTTAAAAATTTTATGTTTTAAGGGTTTCAGTCATTACTTATTTAACAGTTTCAATTTTAGCATCTGAGAAAATTTATAATAGAGAGTAACCTGGATTTTAGACAAAAAAATTACCATTTATGCAAAAATTACCACCAAGAAAATGCCATTTTAAAAATTTTATGCCTTTAGGTGTTAATAACAGCAATTTATTTTCCCTGCACATGCATTTCAAGTATTGAACCAAGTGCTAGACACATCATTAAGATTTAATAACCAGAAGCCTGTGTGCCCATGTGCAAATTGAGGCTTTTTCAAAACTGATGACTGACAATAAGAACAAGTCAAACCAATGCAGGTACATGGAACATGACAACCACCTGTACACAAAAACCAACCCCTCCCATTAACATAAACATGTAACTACTTACAACCCCTGGTCCACAAACAAAACCTGACACAAACTATTTAAAATCTTTAAAAAAATTCTACACACAGCGCTAAGATTCCCTACCAAGCATCAGCCCCCCTAACAGGTTTGTTTGAGCTCACTGTTTCAGACCAGTGGGCATGAAATGTTTAATTTTAGGTCAGTGACACTATCAACTCTTTCAAAAAGCATGCATGGACACCCTTAACATAGTGCTATCAATAAAATTAAATACCTGATGATCAACACACTGGCACCCCCCGTCCCCGTGTTTCAATAAATATGTTTCTTGTTATCAGGAGGGAGGAGGCAATTGGTGTAATAGTGGAACTCTTAACAACTCTTCAGCCAAGTCTTCAGCTACTAATTGCAGGGTGTGATTATGACAGCAGACACATCTAACTCTTAGGCAAATAAGTTTTGAGAGCAATTCATGTGTTATCACACAGACAAACAGCCATGCTGTATCTTTCAACAATGAAATCATATTCAAGTATTACGACAACTTAGGTAATCCAATAAACAAAGTTAACAACACCACTGACATGAGCACAAGCCAAACACTCTGGGCTTGCAGATCAAATTTTTAACTTGCTTTGAAAAACTTTTCTGAACAATTTCAATCAATTTCTCATCTTCCTTTGTTTAAGATTATAATAATGGTCATAAAAATAAATTCAGAAAACCAAACTTAAGCAAAACTTACAAAAAAAAAAAGAGGAAACAGGAACCCTACCTGTGCACCTAAAAGATAAAAATTACACAAACATCTCCCATAACTAGTTTGCTTAGGGCAAGATAGACAGGCCTATATTTGGCCCGTCAGGTAAAATGTCATTCTGGATCAGAAACCTTCAAAAGGATGTAGGCATTGGTGACAAGCAGTTAATAGGTTCCCATGAATAATTTTTCATTCTGATGCTAATTCTACTACCCACCAGTCAGGCATGGTTGGCCTTAATAGCATGGCCCCACCATGATTTCTCTGAGGTGCACAACCCACTAAAGAACCTAATTAACCCTTTCACTCCCAAGATCTAATCAATAATTCTCCTTACTATCTGCTATACAATTCTTATGATGTTAGTTCAGAGAATTTGGTACTGAATCAACTAATAATCCCATAATTGATATTCTTCTCTATTCTCATCACCTGCCTGTTTGATATTGTATTGATATTGTAAGGAGAAATTCTGTCTTGGTCACTTGTGGGAGTGAAAGGGTTAAGATTCGATACCATTCTTTATGTAATCTGTACTTTTGCTTATGATTTCCTTTAACGATTATTTTGCTGTTTCGAACTATTTTTATTCAAATATGACTATGGTACAATAATAAATATCCACTTTTCTGAGTAGACATGTTTATGTGTAATTTTCTTCATGTGTCCCATCAACAGCAAAGCATTAGGAGACAATGTTGACAATGGCTCCAACAAACAACATACATGTACATTTACATGCAGGAACAGTGTGAAACAAAAAGGTCAAAGCATTATTCTATTTTTTTAAATTTAATTCTACGTCCCATTAATTTGGTTTTATTTATTTCTTGTTTGTGTTTTCTTTCTGACAAGTAGTTTGGGTTTTGGTATGATTTCTGTCTTTAGAAGACAAAATTTATGAAATGTTTCAGAAAGTAAGAAATTATGATTATTCCTGTTTCAATACAACTTAAAGCAGGTTTATTTGGACATTAGAATTTCCTTTAAAAGAGGTGCCAAAGAGACTCCTTACAAAACTGGTGTCATAGCAACCACTTCAAAAGACAATGGAAATAAAAAAATCCAAACAAAAGAGAAAGCAGCTGCTACATCATAGAAGGGTGGATGAATTATTATCAACAAATATTTTTTACACCTATCATGCTGGCTTTTAACCACAAGCAATCTTTGCTTATAAAGTAACACTCTACAAAACTGCAGTTGAAACTGCTGTTTTTTTTTCCAACAAAGTATTACTCAAGTTTTAATCAAATGTAAGGAAAAATGGAATATCATGATAGGGTTAACTTGACATTTAAATGTTAATTAGCCAGGGTCCTGTCAGCTGAAAAATAAATAAAATTAAAATATTTCACCTCACAAGCCAGTGATTCTTGACGTTAATTGTTATTCCAAACCAAACCTTAATTAGTCACAAACATCTTTGAAAGACCCAGAACCTGTACACATTTCTATACCCATGGAACAATAAAACCAAAAATGAAGGTTTACTTTGGACAATTCACCATTCCATGCATTTGCATGTTTTTAATTTCTAAACAAAACCTTTTTAACTCTAATTTAAATTGCCATAAAAAAGCTCTGGACATTTCTTCACAGTTTTTACATGAAAACGATGGGTAACTGACATGTTTACATTAACCTCAGAAATAGGAATTCCCTTGATTGGTTCATGATGATAAACCAGCTGTTTTATAATCAACAGTACAAAAATGATTGACAACAAGAATGGTACAGGTGCTTTACAATATTCAAGTTAATATTGCAAAGGAACATGAAATGCTGAGACCTTTCGCCAACTCCTTTCAACTTATGAGATTAACCTAAAAGAATATCTGAAAAAGACCATGCCTCTTCCATCATAAATTAATTGAATGAATTCAACTGCACAATATTTAATATCAAAGAAATGTAATATTTTTCATAATAACTATGACCTTCCAAATTATACAGAACATCTAAAAATATTAGCAAGCTAAATGGGTTCATATCAGTTTTGGTTACATGCAAAAAAATTTTTTTGCATGTGCACCTGAAATGACAATTCAGAAAAAGGATTAAAGAAATGTCATTAACATTTTGACCAAAAAGGTGGAGGAACTTCTTAAGCTAGGAACATGCGCATGTGTGATTACAATACTGCCATCCACAAATATTTCTGGAAAATAGATTAACATTAAAAAAACCCAGACTGTTTCTGATAAAGGTATTAAAAGAGACTAACAAACAAAATTAATGTTGACATCCTGATAAAGATCAATGCTCAACTGACTGTATTGGACATTGGTATGTGTTGTAAACAGTATGTATAAAAGTGAACTGCACAGTATTTTAAAATAATTAAATAAAGAAATTTACAGTTGCAACTAACAGGATTCCAATTAGCTATTCACCTTTCATGATGCAGTTGCGTGCAAACAGAGTCTGATCATCAGTGAATTAAGACAAAGCACTTCCAAAGAACATGCCTGTACTTGATCTCATTAAAAAGTACTCCAATGCATTACATTTGACCAACATTTAAAACATTTCTTGATTCACAGCCACGCAAGTTAAGGTAAAGCAGGGCCTCATTGGTTCTCTTGATGTATGCTCAAGTCAGCTGTTACAACTGTATCATTTAATATGTAGTCAACTCTTCAAATAAACCTCACTGTGAAACTCACTGTACCCCACTGAGCCAAGTTTCATTTTCACTTTTTCAGTGACATTGAAAAAAAAACTTGTCAAAGTGAGTAAGACAGTGAACTGAATCTTGACATACATGAATGTTTATTAAGTTTTTGGACATTTCCCTTAACTTGTGAAAGACATACAATAGAACATCATAAAAAATAAGTTACACCAGAACAATTCTTAATTGCAAGAAAAAATATTTGGGACCAAGTCCAAGGTGTGTGTCAATCATGTGATTGCTTTCCAAAGGTTTCCAGGGATAACAAGGTTTTTATCATATGAAGAACAAAATTGTACTACAAAAAATTTTTAAGCATCTTATTTTATAGCGTATAAGCCTTTGAAACCTCTTGTCAGAAAATCTGTTATGAGCATAATCCACCAAACCAAAGAACAATTGAAAAACTTTGAAACATTCTTCAACAAAAGATGATTTTAAAAATAAATTAAGAAACATAGCACATGAAAATCAACAGTTCTTGTATATTTGACACTCACAATTTGAAACAATAGTTATCAAAGATCATAGGCCAAGATTAAAAATTTGAACATCATTAAGGCACGTGGAAAGTGTATCCAGTGTACTATTGAGCCCTTCTACGATGTATAGTAAATCAGAAATCTTTTCATAGTAAAAAATCTTTAAGAAAATGGTGATCAAAGTTAAAGGCTATCAATATCCTCTAATTATTTCAATCCTCTATCCACTCTATTCAAGCAAGGTCATGGAGAAAGAATAGCTGATTTATAAACATGTAATCAATCTGTCTCAACGCATGAATTTTCTTCTCTGTCAGTTTAATTCCTGATGGAAAAGAATTTTCATTTATGTGTCAACTCCAACAAAGATTCATTGTGTGGGAACACAATGGTCATAATATACCCAATAAGTTATTAACATAGTTTGTAAGCTTGTAGAGGGGGAAAAAAAAAAAAACAGGAAAACAACACTCAAGGGTGCATGTCATTATTATGCTTGATTCCCTTACATAGGATACATACATGTACCTATACACACATTTTGGAATGAAACACAGATTACACAATTAAGAAGGGAGTTACATTATAAAGAATGAAAGGAATGACAATATCAAAGCTTGTTAAGTAGGTGTTTGACAAAGAAAAATTCCAGATGTCATAATATTTTGCCTGTGTCAGCAAATCTGTGAGGACAAATTCATTCTGTATTACCATGACCAGGAAATTATCTTTGTTCCTGACGTTTTACTAACAGAAACAAGTTTGCATCAGCATGCAGAAGAACATGTACAACTAGCATTCAATTGTAACTTTAAATAGTTCCCGCCCAGAAGTGGAAAACAAGAGTGGAAAAAGATCAAATCATGCAATAACTATTGTATTGCCTTTGGCCCAATAACATGTATTAAGCCAGAACAAATATCACGACTTGTGTTTTGACTCAAGATTTCTTTCAACACCATCGTTTGAAAAGGTAACATGCTTTATCTCCATGTTATTGATAAAATGATAAGACAAGGAGACTTTTTCAAGTCAAGACTACACAGACTTTCCAAATAATCAAACGTGTAATATTTTCCTTTTGAAATAAACATCATCGGAACAGCAAGTCATCAATGCACGTTGTTTCCTCATTCAATCCCGCCATATAAATTAAAGCTGTCACGCCACAATAATTGATTACTGAGAAAGCTGGAAATTCGCACTGATGGAAATTATACCCTGACGACTTCCCGTTTTCCTGATGATCGAAAATAGGTAAACGTTTTTCTTCTCCGTTTCTGTTTCATTTCTTTTGGTCCGAATGGTAAGTTGAACAAAAATCTGGGTTGAGGTCGAGCGATTTCTCTGATTAACCATTCGTAAGTTGAGATACTCAAATTTTAGCTGTCAACAAAATACGCTTCCCTAAATAAACTTGAGGGTTCAGATTTTGCAGTGCCATTTAATTACTTTTTTTAGCGACTAGTCATTAGAAATTGAAAAGATCGGTCGCAAAGAAACCTGCGTGTCTGTGCGTGGAAAACAAACTTGAAGGCCTTCTAAACTTTCAATCACTATGATGGGCATTTTCAGTATTTGGCGGGACTGTTTTAGTCTTCAATACCTTAGCATACGACAATAATGAAGTACTGTTTAGTTTTCACTAAAAGATTACTCATTCATTGTCGACTGGACGCTCTAAACAGGTTTTTCGATAAGGGCAAACAGCGCTGCACGCGCGATCTGATCGCTTACTAGCAAACAATAGCCAAACTATTCCTCAGAAATTTAAAACTTGAAGAGCAATACGGATCAAAATACAGGGGTCTTCAAAGAAAGCTGTACTCCCGGTGACCTCAATATTGACGATAAAACAAATACTTCAGCAATCGCAACAGACACACTTCGCAAAAATGCAAATTAGCAAAAAAGCAGGTCTGTGATGCAAATCAAATCAGGATTGCCTTTATCAGCACCGTTTTCTCTTACAATTTGTACCGCAAGTTTACTCATTATGCCACTCTGGAATGAGACGAGAGGCTGGCCAAGGTCGTGGATAGAAAGCAGTGGACATGATTAACGAATTAGCATTAAAAAGCCGATACTAAAATTATTTTCTAGTAGGAGCAAGGGAAAGTCTCGATATTTGCATAAGAAGCGGTACGCTTGATCAGTAATTCAAAATCCCTAGGCATCAAAATTGAACGTATTTTAAAGTGATAACCCAACTAGAAACCACAAAATTCTTTAAATAATTTAGTTTAACCTAGTCGTTCGTACATTTATGACGGTTCTTTAAGATCTACTGCTGCTAGCAGTAGACACAATGGCCTATTTTAATAAGTAAGCTTACTGCCATTCTGTGTATCATAGCGAAAATTGCAAACTTTGAGTCCGTGATCACAATATTAAACTTCAATAAGACTGCAATAAGACTATTTTGGTAATGAAGGAAAACTAATCACGCGTGCAAAGGGAAATATTGAAAAGTCAATTCGAGCCTGGGTACTCGGAAATTTTGCGACGCATTTCGAACACAAAGCATTTTGATAGATCCCCGCGAGAACTGTTTACAACTCTCTCCTGATCCAACACAAAGACAAATTGAAATCCTGTGTGTGCCGTCTTACCTGGGCTCAGAACACAACTGAAGCTAAGACGTCACCAAATGGCTATCGAAATTTTATAAACAGTCTTAGAGGAAAGGATGGCGAGGTTAAAATAGCGAAATATACAGTGATTTTGATGCGATCTCTCAAACTACATGCATGAGAGATAGCTCGGAACCTTAGATCATCCCAGATTTTTTTCTTTAAATACGAGTCACCGCTATGTTTATATGTCTTCCTAACGGTATACACGGGTCAGAAACTTCTCACAATGCTACAATAAAACCCGCTTTGGGTACTTTTGGAAGCAATTTACAAAATAACTACAAAGAGGCAAATTGAAGTTCAAAGCCCAACCGCGCCGCGGCTGGCGAAAGTCGAAGCGAAGAGCGCTTATGCCCGCAACATTACACCACAGTTCTAACTCTTTGAAATTCAAAGCGCCAGAACCTTTCGAAACTAGCTCTATACAATAAATTATTCACTTAAATTCTCTGATAAGTTACACATCATCGAACATAAAACAAGAGGAAGAAAACTTACGTTATAAACCATCACGTTGTAGGTGAAATGTCTCAATCCAATTTTCGCGTAAAATCCTTTCGAAAGCAAAGTTCCTATTTCCCAAAAGAATTACACTCGCCTCACATCATTCTAGACGAATGATCCCTCGTTATTATCCGCTATTTGCTGAATCACAAAATGTCCAATTATTACCAAACTCAACGCTTGAAACCTTTAAATTTGTTCAATATAGAACGTCGAGGAGCTTCGCCCGGTCAGGCTTTCCAGACAAAAAAGCCAAGTTTCATTGTAAACGACACACATGCAATCCAAGTGATTGGATGTCAAATATCCACCAATCAAACGCGTTCTGAAATGTACCGCATTGTCAATCACCCGCCAACACGAAATCACCCGCGCTTTAGAATTTCCGGTCAAATCACCTAGAACACTTGTAAAATACCCCAAAAATAGTAGCAATAAGGGCCAGATTACTCCATGCTTAGGTAAACGGAGAAACTGAAAGTGGAAGGGTACGAAATTTTGCGCTACCCCTGGCGTGAATTTCAAGGCAGAATCTCAAAAATAGGACAAGTGGTGACAAGTTGACGTTGTTTTGTCATTATTTTTATTGACCACATGTGACGTGGTCCTCATTGGATAAGATATATGCAGATTGATAAACAATGGTGAACAAGGAGGCCATTGAGATGAACAAAGGTTGAAAACGTATTAACCAATGGAAGAAGGCGGTGGCGGCTTTATAATGATAAAGGCAGCACACGCGTGATGCGAATTTTGATTTCTCGCACATTTTGGCGTGACAGTGATCTGGCGACACCGCACGCAAAACGAAAAACAGATTTGTCTCGAACTTGAATGTATCTGAGTTACACTGACGCAAATATCTTAACAGGCTTCGTTTATTTTTAGCTTAATCTCCGAAATAAAAGATACATTTCCCTTGATACGAAAGCTCAAAACATACTAATCGACCTCTGTTACAGAATTAAAGCAACTCCGATCAAACCCGCCGCTGTGAAAGGATAACTGGGATCAATGATAAATCACTCAGTAAAATGATGAAATGGACATCTTTTAAAAATAGATATGATCACGCAACAGAGGAGGGTTGAGTATACGTGGGAATGGAATCTCCTACACTATTTCATGATTCAGCTAAGGCAACAAAACAGGATGCGAAGTGCACGTACGAATACGTCAAAGAATACATATTACTTCAGGTAAGTATCGGCTTTCGAAGATCTCTTCAGACACTCTCTGAGAAACCGCGAATGTTTCTATGAGCAAACACTTAAGAGAGAGCACACGATACCCTTTTTTAGTCAAAACAGAAAGAGGTGGAATATGGGAATATGTGCCAAGAGCCACGCGTGTTGACCAAAGAACTAGAAGAGTCAGTAAACAAATTCATGGCAGCTAACATCGGCAGTTGTTCATCTTCAACTGGAGGCCAGTGATATTTTCCCCTCTTAAAGTTATTTCTTTATTTTTACATTTTGGCAAAACGTTGATTAAGAACACATAAGGCCAAACACTGCCAACTGCGAGCATAACTCTGAGACTAATAGAAAAAATTAAAATGAGTCAACCACGATGGCCGTTTTATTTCGAATTAACTTGGCGAAAAACAAAAAAAAAAACACTTGAGTATTGAGCGATAAAATTAAAAATATACGAAATATTGTGCGATGAAAAACAACTGGCGGTGTTGCTCTAATCATAAGCTCCTCAACTTTGAAAACACTTGGCTCAGTAAGGAATGGACTCAAAGGCTTATCGATCCAAAATTAAGAAGGATTGCACAAAATTCCGAGCATTTAGACAAATATGAACGTTGTGCGTGCTCTTTGTCTTATGTAAAAAGCCATTTTCCTCAGTTAATGATGATTTTTTTTCCCTTCTTTCTGTTTAATTTTTAATTTCTTTCCTTTTTTCATCCGTTAACGTGACCGGAAGGAAGGGAAATTTTCAAGTGTCCGAATCATTGCAAGGTGGGGTCGGCATTCGAACCAAACGTAATTGCGCGCAAGTCGTAAAATTTGATCGCCGGCTCCTCGCTGGTTTCTTTTGTCAACCGGCTCATCTCTCAAGATTCTCAGGTAGAGCCGTAACACCAATTGGGAATCTGCCCGTTGGTTGAAAATGGCGTGACTTTGTTGGGTGAAATGAAATAACCTCCTTCTACAAGGGAGTAATATTTTAAAACATTCAATGGGTTCCTTATCGTTTACACATAAAATACTAGATTTTGGTGGTGAATATTACCATATGTCTCAAATCGTAAAAAGCCATCCCCAGGATTTATAAATATATAGTGGAGATAAAGAAGTGGAAATAAAACAAAGTCTTACTCAAAGGTAAACGGAGACTGGATTCCTGGATTATTGTGTCCGATGGATGAGTATGCTGCAAATTTAGTTTATATGCGCAGTTTTGTTGCAACAAGAGAATACGAACTAAATTCCTTGTCAAATCTTTAATACGCCGGCATTTGTAAATTTCAAACGAATGTTAACAATAAATTTTGCTCCAAAAGATTTCACGCACTCAGGGTTGTCAAAGTAGGCGGTGCAATGTCATGCTTCAATGCTGAAAATTGAGCCTCAAACATTCGGAATTTTTAGAGTAGCCGATGAAATGACGGTTGCCGCTCACTGCAAACACGTTGCCCCTTAAGGTGTGGCATAATTGGTAACTGTATCCATCGTGCATAAAACTATCTGACGCTGTTTGTTTGTTTGTGTTTTTTATGTATATATCGTGATGGTGAGCAGAGATCATTTGTATTAAAAAGAGGCGCAATTGGAAATTACTTTTACGCAAAGATATCAAACTGGCCGACAGTTTCAGCGTAAAAGGACGCCAATCGATTCTGTCGTCATTTAGTTGACCGTGCGCGAATAGCTTTTAATCTGAAAGTGATCTGATCGTTTTTCAAATTTCCATTAAAAGAACCATGAAAATATAAATAGTTTCCTTTTCTGTGGGTAAAACTTGTAGTTTGATTTTCATTGATTTGTTGACAAACCCAAATATATCCCTTTAAAAAGTTGTTGCAGTGATATTGTTTCAATATGACACAGCGCGAATCAAGAAGGAATTGAGAGAAAAAGATTTTAAATTGTCGGAGACGATCCCTTATCCGTCCATGCGAGGCCCACTATTTTTGTTTCAACGATCAACGGTATTCAGAGAGAGAACTTTAAATATTTAAAAAGAAAGCTGTAATCGTGTATCAATTACTAGAGTTATACATGAATTCTGTACAACTGATTACATAAGGAGACAACCATTGAATTTTTCCTCTTTCGAGTTTTCTGTCCAACTTGGCAATACGTGAATCAGACGATGAAAGAAAGAATTAAATATCACTCCCCATCCACACATCTTAAGACGCATGAGTCATGTATCTAAGGTAGAGAGCAAACTCCCTTATGATAAACTTGAATATCGTAAATCAGAGAGAGAATACAAATAAAAAAAAACCGGATAAAAGTACATTTCCCGATTGGCCCGCCTCGCGATCCTTCCATTGATTCAAACACCTTTCCTTCGAAGCTATCGGTGGGAAATTTCTTCGACAAAGACCTTCTTTGCGAGAAAATGTGCCCGTGAGTTAGGTAACTTGTTGGTCTTCAACCGGGCAAATCTAATTTCCCGCTAACAAGATAGCCAAACTAACACATTTGCGGCGCTGTTCTTAAATCCTAATGCCTCCTTCGCAAGTCGCATAAAACGATTTTGTTTTTTATGCAGAAAAGTGCAATTTATGGAGAAGGAGGATTTTCACGGTCGCAGGAAAAACCGAGGCGAAACCCGCGTGTAAAAGTCGCGATAGATTTGGCCTTTTGACGCGAAAAGCAAAATAACGCACACAAAATATACAATATCAGGTGAAAGTTAATTGCGACGAATTTCATTTACAGGCAAACTTAGCTTGTGTCTAACGCTGAATAATTAGACGAGCCTAGAATCTGTTTCTTAACATTTAAATACGTTCACCTTGGTTGAAATCTCGCTGGGAAAAAAATTAACCGATTTCCAGCAACATTTTCTCTGCTGCCCTAAAAAGTCCATTGTTGAGCACTCCCCGAGGTTTGCGACGAGTCAATAAAGATTATTTCTATGCCTGGACTCTCGCACGAGCGGAATATTTAAATTGCCTTTCGGTTTAATGCGGCGGGAAACGTATTGCCAGTCAATCTCTCTAAAGTAATTCAGCATTACTTTTAGTTAGCTTACCTGCGCTGGTTATTCCGGTTGTTTCCAAATCTATGTATTCAAGCTCCATCCGAAGTAAAATTCACCTACCTACAAACAAAGTAAATTTGAAAATTTATCTTTAATGTTAATTAATTCAAAAATAGATTAGGTTGTCAGGTAGGCATAAAATTTTCATGCATACATGTCATCAATTTAGCTATTGAAAACAGCTGAAACTGTTCGTTTTCGCTACTTTATTTTGGAAGGGATAAAATTTAACCACGATCGCACAAGCGATCGTTTTTGCATGAAGTCTAGTCGTATCGACACAAGGAGTCTTAAAAAAAAACAATCTGTTTTTATTACTAAAGATTTCACATAAAGGGAATCTTCGCGTCGTGGAAATGATTATGCATTTTCAGTCGAAAGCTACAGAAACGCTCATTTCATTTTTCACAGCGGCTAAATGAAAATGACCCCGTTCTAGGTCTTCATTACCATATTAATAGTCCAAAAAACAGAAGGAGAACAAGCAGAACAAGCCAGAGGGGAATATTCTTGATAATTTTGCCTTTGCTCATCGCCTTAAACAGCAAACGCAGAAAGTTAACATTAACACTGGAGGCCGCTTGATCAGGTCACTTTCATGAGTAAACATTAGATCTCAAAGGCGCGGGTTATACCGAACCATTGAGTGGAGGGGGAAGAAACATTCACGAACCTTCTCGCAACAGTTCTTGTGTCACGGTTTGAATAACTTAAAAAATCAAGCTTTCATTTTTCGTTTGTTGTCTGTAATCGTTGGAAATCTTTCCCTTACTTAAATATCCTCTTTCTTTTTTATCTGATGGTTTCGTGCTATCCTTGTCGTGTTAGTTCATCCCAACTAAACATGAATTTAAGGTTTTATTGCATTCTGAAAAAGATTCCTGCATCACCAAAATGACCTAAAATATCATGATAAAGTTCTTCAAGATGATGCAGAAAATATCGTGATAAAAACCTGAGCATTCAGACTTCGTCCAGACGAATGAAGTTGAGATTGCGCTTGCGTTCCCGCTATAAAATTTACTATAT